TTGGTTACGGATAATGGTCCAACATTCACCAGTGAGCTGTTTAGTGAGTTCATGGATCAGAATGGCATCCGCCACATTCGTACAGCTCCTTTCCATCCCGCTTCAAATGGATTGGCGGAACGAGCTGTCCAGACAGTGAAGGAGGGTCTGAAGCGCATGACAGGGGACTCACTGAGTGCTAGGCTTTCAAGGTTCTTGTTTAAATATTGTCTCACGCCACAGACCACTACTGCAAGTACGCCAGCGGAGATGTTGATGGGACGCAGGCCGAAGTCAAGGCTGGATTTGCTGCGTCCGGATATGAAAGAAAAGGTGGGGCGAAAACAGGAAAAGCAGAAGGAGGGCCATGATCTGCAGGCACGAGAGAGACTACTGAAACCAGGAGACAATGTCTATGTGAGAAATTTCAGCAGTCACCCAAAGCAACCATGGCTGCCTGGGGTTATCCTGATGCAGAATGGGCCTGTCTCCTTTGTCATTAAACTGACTGATGGACGAGTGTTCCGCAGACATCAGGATCACGTGCGTCTGCGGTATGATAAAGGCACAGGGAGTGTCAACGAAGAAGAGTTTCCACTGGGGGCTACGGAAGGTGCATGTTCGCCAGAGGAAGCTTTATCAGAGAAGGTGTCTGTGTCACCTGCCGTGCAGGCACAGGAGCTCCTGGACGCAATGACCCCTCTTGTGGCCGCAGCAACAGACTTACCCAAAGCACCATTCCCCGTGGTGATTACTGCATCAGAGGAGACAGTGCGCAGATCACAGCGTGTTCGGAAGCCTCCTGACCGATTGAATATTTGAGTTCTTGGATATTAATTCATAAGAGTACGTGTTATGTTTTGTATGTATGTGCCTGACTGAGCATTAATATCGAGGCATTAGAGTGAGCATAGGTGTAAGTAACTGATACTAGAGTCATTTTGTTTTGTCATATATGACAGTTGAGGAAGTTTAGGAACTTAATGGGAGAGGAGTGTTATAATGTTAATGTTAAAAGTAAAGTTGTTTGGCATTTACCGCTAGGGGGTGCTCCTATGCCTTAAAGAGAATGGGTGTGTGCTTCTTCTATGGTAGAGAGGTACGCCTGAGTTTTTCTAGTATAGAGCATGTGCTTT